GACGCAATTGACGCAGGTAGGTCACGTGACCATGACAAAATGGCGAATGTAGTATGTCCCAATTCCATTAATACTTTTCACGTTCATACTGTATAGAATGCACTTTTCTAACCGCCGAGTAGTACGTTTAAATTCAAATGCAGGACCTACTGGTTTCGGACGCAGCCCTTATCTTCGTTTTGGAAGACTCCCTCCCTCCACCCCATTTATAAAAATAAATAGATTTTTGGAAATCACCACTTCATTGTCCTGTGACCCTCACTTTGAGAGCCACTGGTATGAGTTGCATATAAAATTCACATTTCAAAACCGCCTATTCCATTTATTACACGCACAATCAAATTCAAAAAACGCCCAATTAGATGGGAACCCGCTCAATCTGGCAACACTGGGCCTGTTGTGAACGGTGGAGCCCTTATTATTCACAACAAGTGTTGTTATACGCCACAATATCGCAAATCCTCCAGTAATAAACTCTTGACTGTGAAGCAGGCATCGCTCTGTCAGTGCAGGCGCTCGGGTTACACTCAAGTGCATCATTATGCGTTCGGGAAGTGCATAATTCATTCTGAACCGCTCTGATATGGCCATTGATACTGCTGTGCAATAAAAGCAAGTGATGGTTATCTGATCTATTTATTTGTTGAACAGTTACCTTACTGAAGAGCTGTGCTTAAATCACAAAGGAACACGCTGACTAGTCAGTAAGAGAAATGTGTTGTTTTGCTCATCCCTACTGATACAAGCTCTTCAAGTTTAGTTTAATTTCAATATAGGGGATAATCTGATTCTTAAAGGCCTTTCTGCTTGTCTGATCTGATATATTGAATTATTAATTTATCATTCATTAATCCCACACTGAATCTGCACATACAGAAATCTGCAGATTTTAACCCCTAATTAAGTCCATTTATTTACTTAAGTAAATACGTGTGCAGTGTTTATACTAATTTAAGTAATGTTATTGAATAATATGCTTGTTTATATGATCTATTTATTGAAAAGCAATATGTTCAGCATTTTAGTAGATATTATATGATTACATTTGAGCTGATATACAGTACTTCAAGAGTTCACACTTAGCTGATGATTGATTATAAAGCTTGTTTGGCATGAGAGCCCTGAGCTCATAAGATCCTCGAGCCCGGGGCTCCCTCCCGTTTGCATGGCGAGAGGGGAGTTTGAGCTCAGGTAGATCTGGAGAACTCCCCTGCTGTAGTAGCTATTGAACAGATAGTGATCGCTCTTAAGAGATAACTACTTAGGAGCATGTCTGTGGTGCTGATTTGGATTAGTCAATTAACTTAAGTTGCATGTTTTTGGACGGTGGAGGAACCCGGGGGAAACCCACATGAGCACCGGGAGAACGTGTAAACTCCGTACAGAAACGTTGGATGGCTTAGTAAGGACTAGAACCAGTGACGTTCTTGCTGTGAGGCAACAGTGCTAACCACTGGGCCACCGTGCCACCCATCCAGGAAAGGAAGAGGAGTAGGGGTGGAAGGGGGGATTCTTCAAAATGAATATGGCTGTTATATAGAACTCATGGGCTGCGTCCGAAACTGCATACTTCCATACTATATAGTATGCTAAAATCAGTATACGAGCCGAGTAGTATATCCGAATTCATAGAATTCGAAAATCAGTATGCGAGAAGTACCCGGATGACTTACTACTTCCGCCGAGATTCTGGAGTGCGCATCCCATGCAAGCTGCGCTATCCCATAATGCCCCGTGAGAGAATTCAAGAATGGAAGTGAAGCGACGCAACTGACGCAGGTAGGTCACGTGACCATGACAAAATGGTGGATGTAGTACGTCCAAATTCCATTATTACTTTTCACATTCATACTGTATAGAATTTATTTTACTATCGGCCGAGTAGTACGTTTAAATTCAAATACAGTATTGAGTAGTAGACGTTTCGGGCGCAGCGATGGTATTTATAGTGGCTTAGGAATCATCTGATTGGTCAATCATAAATTGAATAATGCAGGCCCAGCTGCAAGCAATTATAAGCATGTGAGCCTCTCCAAATATGTTTATGAATAAACTTTGCTTAGTGAGGAGTATTTGCGATTCTCACTATTATTTACAAAAAAATAAAACAGTAAATTAAACTGATGGTCTGTAAATGAGACCCGGATTAAACCACACCATTTATATGACAATATTACCTTTCAGCATTGCGTAAAAAAGAACAATCTGAAGTCAGAAAACACTAAAAAACAGCGCACAATTTCATGTTACTTTCACTAAAAAGTAAATAGGTGTTAGTTACTGGTGATACATTACTTGGTAACTTTTTATAAGTAACTTAAGACGTTTTGTATCATAGATATTTGTAATTAATCAAATGTCATCGTTTTCTTAAAAACTGATCCACTTAAAAAGGGTTGTACGTCATATTCAGCTATTAATATTAATGAGTACATCCTTCCTTTCCCATAGTATTCCTGATACAATCGCATCCAGAGACCTGCCACTTACACAAGTCTAAATTTGACTATAACATCTTTAACTTTTCGGCTTATAACCATAAAATAAGAACCAAAAAAGCACAATTAAGCGTGTATATGGTCGTGTTGCTCTTTAATAATAACAGTGATCATTACTAAGAGCTTACAGGAGAAATAAATGGATGCGTTGAACGCTGAGTCAGTATGGTGACTCGTAAATGTAGTTATTGTGTTACTTTCGGTTTTGCGCGACGCTTTGTTGTTGTTGAGCGCGTGCAGAGCAGACTATGGTGTTATGGAGCAGTTCGCCATCAAAACTCACCCGTCGGTCAGATGTTTTGTTTCTGCATAATCTGCCATGTGCGCGACCATTATTTGCGCGCGAAGACAGCGCCTCAGATATTCCGTGAGGAGATATTTACAGATAAGAGACAATAAACCCGGTCAATCCTGAACCCATTCATGCAGCACACACACATTACACACGCGCACGCTGGTGTTTCCGCGACTGGCAGCAGCAGGAAGTGGCGGGAACTTGCTTGTTTACTGCAAGCCTGTATACGCGCCATTAGGCTACACACAGAAACAATACAACTGAGGAAAAGGAGTGCTCAACAATACACAAATGAAATAACATCAAATTAAGTAGACGTTATGTAGGTTGTGTAAAACCATGATGGTTTACCACAGTGTATGAGGCCCCCTTGAGGTCAGTGATGGTTTTGGTTGAACAATAGGACAGTAACTTGTCACCTTATGCTTTAGTGTTTTGGGTCAAAACTTGCTGTAATTTCAGATTTATAGCTCAGAATTCTGACTTTATAACTCGCAATTGCGACTTTTTACCTCAGAATTCTGACTAACTCGCAATCGCAAGTATGACTAACCTACAGGGAACGTTCTGGGAAGGTTCTCTCTATGTTACAAAAATAAAACCAACAAATAACCTACAGGGAACGTTCTAAAAAGGTTCTCTTTTGGTTATAAAATAAATCCCAAACTTAACCTACAGGGAACGTTCTGGGAAGGTTCTCTCAAGGTTATGTTAAAAAAACCTAAATAAAACCTAGAGGGAACGTTCTAGGAAGGTTCTCTGTAGGTTATAAAATAACCATCGAAAATACCCTGCAGGGAACGTTCTGGGAAGGTTATATTTTGGTTACCAAAAAATAACCTACAGAGAACGTTCCCAGAACGTTCTTATTTGGTTCCCAACAAAATAACCAAATGGGAACCATATGGGAACGTTAGGGGAAGGTTATGTGTTTGCTGGGTTTTACCTCAGAATTATTACTTTAACTCACATTTACAACTTGTTACCTCAAAATTCTGACTATAACTTGCAAGTATGACTTTTTACCTCAGAATTTTGATTTTATAACTCACAATTATTACTTTTTACCCAAAATTCTGACTTTATAACTCACAATTACGACTTTTTACCTCAAAATTCTGACTATAACTCGCAAGTATGACTTTTTACCTCAAAATTCTGACTTTATAACTCAAAATTATGACTTTTTACCCAAAATTATGACTTTCTAACTCAAAATTATGACTTTTTACCCAAAATTCTGACTTTATAACTCACAATTATGAGTTTGAACCTCAGAATTCTGACTATAACTCACAATTACGACTTTTTACCTCAGAATTCTAACTTTATAACTCAAAATTATGACTTTTAACCTTAAAATTCTGACTTTATAACTCAAAATTACGACTTTTAAACTCAAAATTCTGACTATAACTCGCAATCGCAATTCCTTTTACCTCAAAATTCTGACTTTATAACTCAAAATTACGACTTACCTCAAAATTCTGACTATAACTCGCAATCGCAATACCTTTTACCTCAGAATTATAACTTTATAAAAAAAGTCATAGTAAAAGTAAAAGGACATAATTGCGAATTGTAGTAAATAGGCTGAATTTTATTTAATACTGAATTTTTAGTACCATAACAGCTCCTACCTGGTACTCCTAAGTACCACCTATATAGTAGGGAGGTATTCGATTTTGGACGCTGTCTATGTAACACCTGGAAGCAGATCTTTTTTTTAGGCTGCTAATGAGCATTTGAGCGTTTTCTCCGTGTTCACTGAAATCAGCCATGGAGATTGCTTCCGGGTAAGCAAAAACAGTCCTATGATTCCATCACCTCACTAACATTCTCCTAAGACGAAACCATAAAGGTGAAGCAAAACAAGGAAGATCTTTGGGAACCAATGTCTATTCAGTGTTGAAGTTCAGTCTGGTACCCTTACCAACCTAATTTCAGCAAGTAGCCTAGGTCATGTTCCTGGATTAAAACATCTATGTTGATCCTGGAACAACATTCCAATCAGCCAATCAGAATTAAGGGATGTTTACCATTTATGTTTTAGGCTTACGGTTAGGTTTATGCACTTCTCCATGATTGCTGTTCAACTACTATTATTATTTTAACTATTATTTCCCTCTGATTTTGGGAATAATCTACAGTTATGGTTGGGTTTAGGGGTGTGAATTACATTTTCGAACAAAAATGATGTTCCAGGATCAACATAGATGTTAGTCCAGATCGTACTTGGTAAAATTAAGACGTGCCTGGTTTCGCACACCCATGACCTGGAGAAATAAATCAGTACAGTTTAGTACATTCAGTTTAATTTGACGGACAGGCATATAGCATTTCTGAACCAAAGATGAAGAGGTGGATCTGGGGGAGGTCAATCCAGCCTCTTTCAATCCCAGATGCTGAAATCCAAAATCAAATAAAAAACTAATGAATAAAATTGGCAATAAAAATTAGTGAATGTGGTTGAAAACTGACATACTAAGAGAATAGGAATACAAGCAAGTATACATAAAAATGAAAAGGCGACTCTTACTGCTGAACAGGTTTTGGGGTAGCTGAATATAGTGAAGTCTCCCACTAAATCACAACCTTAGTCATCACAATAAAACATTGATCTGCGTCCAGAGGCTCAACACTTGAGAGATGCCGTCTAAATTGATGATTTGTAACAGTACGGACCTAAAGGATTAGTTTGCTTCCGGAGTAAGTAAGTGAGTGCTGCTGTCGGAGGAATGAGCAGACTGGTTTAGCCAATAGAAAGACAAGAGTACTGTAAGTCAAATAACCATCTCTGAAGACAAGACGTGTCAAACCTTGATGAGCTCCAGCAGGAGAAAACCACTGCTGTCATCTGGGAACTGCAGTTTAGAACTGAAGAACTGGGAACTGAAGTGTGCAAATAAAACTGGAAAAGGGTTTCAGGTTAGAATCTTGGTTTCTGCTGCAACATTCAAGAATCATAGAGTCAGAATTTGGCAACTATAAATGAGCGAGTACATCCTTGATTCAATGGTTCAGCTGCTGGTGGAGTAATGGTGTGGGATGTTTTCTTGACGCACTTTGAGTATTGACGTTGACCATATCCACCCATTTGTGACCACAGTGAAACCCTCACTTCCAGCCGGATAATGGACATGCAGCAAAACTCAAACCATCTCAAACTGGTTTCTAACGGCGTGTTCGCTGTACGCAAATGTCTCATTTCAACTCAGTCTTACATCCGTTTGTTATATAGGCATGAAATTTTATCTCATCAATTCACACATACCAATTTTCATTTTTTCCCATGTTCCTCAACATAAATTTTAACCTATTGTATATTGTCTGCAATATCTTTCGTACTAATACATTCTCCCTCCTGAGTCCTGACGATCAAAACAATTGTATTTACATTGCACCATGAGCATGTACCACAAGTACTTTTGCAATTTATTCAAGATACATGAATATACATAAGTCTTCTGAGGCAGAGGAACACAAAAAAGAGGAAATTTGTGTCTGAACGTAAACTAATAGATCAAATTTTGTGACAAAATAACGAAAAGTGGCATACTTAAAAAATGATAACCCAGGCTCAATGGAGATATGTGCACAGGGCTAAATTTTTGAAAATCGTGAAATATGGGCCATCTTTAAAAAAACCAACTAGAAGGGAAAATCCATCGCGTCCATGTATATTTACCACAATTTGTACCATCCTTCGAACCATCCTTCGTTGGACTCGAATCCCACTCCGAAATAAAACGCCATACATGGTGAGCTACTGAGCAAACTGACCACACTAAACTAGACATCCATACTAAGATAAGTGGTCAGCTGTAGCTCGAAAAGGAAACAGAAATTATCAGCAGTGTGTGTATAACTCGCAATTACAACTTTTTACCTCAGAATTCTCACTTTACCACTCGCAATTGCGACTTTTTATCTCAAAATCCTGACTTAATAATTTGCATTTGCGAATGTTTACCTCAGAATTCTGACTTTATAACTCGCAATTATGACCTTTTGCCTCAGAATTCTGACTTTACGACTCGCAATTGCGACTTTTTATCTCAAAATCCTGACTTAATAATTTGCATTTGCGAATGTTTACCTCAGAATTCTGACTTTATAACTCGCAATTATGACCTTTTGCCTCAGAATTCTGACTTTACGACTCGCAATTGCGACTTTTTATCTCAAAATCCTGACTTAATAATTTGCATTTGCGAATGTTTACCTCAGAATTCTGACTTTATAACTCGCAATTATGACCTTTTGCCTCAGAATTCTCACTTTACGACTCACAATTGCGACTTTTTATCTCAAAATCTTGACTTAATAACTTGCAATTGCGAATTTTTACCTCAGTATTTTGACTTTACGACTCGCAATCGTCACTTTTTACCTCAGAATTCTGACTTTATAATTCACAATTATCACTTTTTACCTCAGAATTCTGACTTTATAACTCACAATTGCGACTTTTTACCCCAGAATTCTAACTTAATAACTCACAATTGCAAATTTTTACCTCAGAATTTTGACTTTATAACTCACAATCGTGACTTTTTACCTCAGAATTCTGACTTCATAACTTAATTAGAATTAAAATATCACATCAAAACGATTATCTTTTACATCACTCATCTTTTATCTAATTGTGAAACTACTGAAAAACAAAGTACCATAAAAGCTAGTCAAGAATGCACTGCAAAGAAACATTTGATGGTAGCAAATCAAAAATAGGATATATTTATGCTTATTTTTGAACGATGGAGTATAAAAATCCTGTTTACAAAAAGTGCTGTGAAGAAGCCGCCATTAAAACAATGCTAGCTGCAGTCTCTGTCAGCAAATGTTTATTTGAATGTTCTGCTAATGACACTGAGTTTCATATTTCAGTAAATGAGAGCGACTGCAGTGAGAAACCCGATCCCTCATGAATCTGGCTGGCCAACTTGACTCTGTTCCAGTGTATTTGATGGTATAATGCTCCAGTAATCACATTTGACCAATTGGACATTAGCTCTGTTTATGAGAAGTGAATATCGACTTGAGCCGTACAAGCAAACTTTGGTAAATGTATACTGCACAGTCATTCTGCCTTTTTTGAGGCTCGTAACGCAATTTAGCCTCCATTTGCACATAAAGCCAATATTGTAAAGCTGACGGTTCCTCCAGATCTAACACTGCATGGCAAGCCTTAATATATATTATACACAAATGAAATTTTCTTTTTAACAAACATTTTAGTGTGATAAATTAAAATAAGATATTGAGTAATCATTGGATTAATAATTTTACATTACAGTACAATTACTAAATTTCATGTCTAAATCTGCGTCCCCTCATTCAACTGTAATTTTGTTTTCATCTGTAACTCCTAACAAAATACATGATTCTGACGTTATAACTCACAATTGCGACTTTTTACCAAAGAATTCTGACTTCATAGCTTTTTGAAAAATTAAAATATCACATCAGAGGGAATACTTTTTACATCGTTCATCGTTGAAACTACTGGAAAACGAAGTCGCAATCACGACTTTTTACCCCAGAATTGGCATTATAACTCGCAATCGCGACTTTTTACCTCAGAATTCTGACTTTATAACTCGCAATCGCGACTTTTTACCTCAGAATTGGCACTCTAACTCGCAATCACGACTTTTTACCTCAGAATTCAGACTTTATAACTCGCAATCCCGACTTTTTACCTCAGAATTCTGTCTATGACTCGCAATCCAACTTTTTACCTCAGAATTCGGAAATGCGAATTTTCACTTTGGAAATTGGATTTTATAAATCAATCTTGACTTTTTACCTTAGAATTTTGACTTTATAACTGGTAATTGTGACTTTTTACCTCAGAATTACTTTATTACTCGCAATAGCAACTTTTTACCTCAGAATTTAGAAATGCTAATTTTTACTTTGAAAATTAGATTTTATAAATTAATCGTGACTTTTTACCTCAGATTTCTGACTTTATAACTCGCAATTACTTTTTACCTCAGAATTCTTAATATAACTCGTAATTATGACTTTCTACCTCAGAACTCTTGACTTTACAACTCACAATCATGACTTTTTACCTCAGAATTCGGAATGTAAATTCGATTTTATAAATCAATCTTTACCTTTTACCTCAGAATTTTATCTTTATAATTTGCAACATTGACTTTTTACCTCAGAATTCGTACTTTATTACTCGCAATCGCAAACTTTTTACCTCAGAATTTAGAAATGCAAGTTTTTACCTTGAAAATTAGATTTTATAAATCAATCGTGACTTTTTACCTTAAATTTCTGACTTTATAACTTACAATTATGACTTTTTACCTCAGAATTCTGACTATAATTCGCAATTATGACTTTTTATCTCAGAATTCTTACTTTATAACTCACAATTACGACTTTTTATCTCAGAATTCTGACTTTGTTACTTGCAATCGCGACTTTTTACCTCAGAATTCTGACTTTGTTACTTGCAATCGCGACTTTTTACCTCAGAATTCTGACTTTATTACTCGCAATCGCGACTTTTTACCTTGGAAATTGGATTTTATAAATCAATTATGCCTTTTTACCTCAGAATTTTGACTTTATAACTCGCAATCGTGACTTTTTACCTCAGAAATCTGACGCTATCATTTGCAATTGTGACTTTTTACCTCTTAATTCATACTTTCTAACTCACAATTATCACTTTTATCTAAGAATTCTGACATTGTAACTCGCAGTTAAGACTTTTTACCTCAGAATTGTGACGTTTTGCAAGTGACTTACCTCATAAGTGTGATTATAACTCGCAATGACTGTTAACCTCAGAATTCTAACTTTATAATTCAGAAATGTGAGTTAATATCCCACAAAATTGGCTTACAGCTCGCAATTTCAAGAAGAAAAGTCGCAATAACCTTTTTGTTTTTAATTCAGTAGCAGAAACAGGCTTCCAAACCTATCACAGCTGATTATGCACTTGAACTTAAATCCTTTTCTAGCCTTAATAACATCGCCAATATCGATCCGTAATCACAAGAAGCTCCAGCAAACAATTGCACCCTGTTCATCAGCATTACTCACTCCTCGCTAATCTCATTACGCTGTAAGATGAACTGTATAACGCAAAATGAAATATAGCTCAGCGCATCAGTAAGGCTGGTGTTTATAGTTTGAGCAGTAATGGCTCCATTCAAACCCACAGAGAAACAGTGCCATGCATTTTTAATCAGGTGGCTTTATAAAAGTCACCTTCTTCATTCTGAGGGACGGAAACTCAAACAGACTGACGGAGAGCGCAGAAGATGGTGATTTAATAACATTTGCTCTACAATTTAATTTGTTTTTGTGTGTGTGTGTGTGTGTGTGTGTGTGCATGAACAGAGCTACACAACACACTTCTCCAGAGTTGATTCAGAAAGTAAATTTGGTGCATGCCTGAAGGAGCATCAGATATCTAATGCATAGAAAGCATGAGAGCGAGGACGTTTCTCAGTGTTGCTCCCGTGTTTCTGGGCATCTCCTGCGCTGCGCTGAAAAACTGTGCGGAGATCCAGTGTGAGGAAGACCAGGAATGCTGCAATCCTCAGAACAGCAGCCAACAGAACGCCCAATGCTGTAAAGTGCACAGTTTTCTGGATAACCTGGACTGGCTGGTGCGCAGACTGTCGGGTCTGCTGATCCTGCTGCTGCTCTTCATTGTGGGATACTTCATCCAGCGGGTGGTGTGTCCCCGTCCCAGACGCCAGTCTCCAGAGGAGCCGTCTCTCCTGCACGGACACACATTATCCCAGGACTCGCTCTCAGGGGGATTCAGCTCTCCGGTTCTGCTGCTTCCGACTTATGAGGAGGTGAAAAATCTGCCCACATATGAGGAGATCATGATGGAAGGCAATGGAGACGCTCTGAACTCAAACGCAGGAGCGCTGCAGACGGCGAGAAGAGCCAGAAACTCTCTGTAAACTCCTGCCTTTTATATTGTGTGTGTTTTCTTAGCACTATTGCATGCACAATGTGTGTTAGTAGCTGATGTGAATACAGTGTGTGTGTCTCAGATGCCAGATTTTTTCAGATTGTGAAACATGACAGTGGTTTCAATGGTTTTAAAGAGGCTGTGGCAAAAATCTGTAAGCTATTGGTTAACAGTAAGATCCTTAAATGGACAGTTCACCCAAAAATTTACATTTAAAGAGTTAAACCACTTTTTTCCACACTTTTTTGTATTTTTTTTTAAGCGAGATGCTAATGGTCTAATCTGATTCAATGATCTATGCTAAGCTAAGCTAAAAGTGCTTCAATCCTCCAGATTTTCTGCTTCCGACATATGAGGAGGTGAAAAATCATGATGGAGACGCTCTGAACTCAAAGACAGGAGCGCTGCAGACGGCTAGAAGAGCCAGAAACTCTCTGTCATTATATATTGTGTCCTCTGTGTGAAGAGTTGATGTTTTAACAGACGTTTTGGCTCTATTATAAATAAGCACATATCTATAATAATATCTAATATCTTTAATACACTTTACAGATTCTATTGTTTCAGTGTAGCAGCTGTTTTGCATTCGGTTTGTTTCACAATGTGATTTCTAGCTCTATGCGTGCAGAAAAATGTGTTAATGGCTGATCTGAGTGCAGTGCGGGTTATAATTTTCACATGATTACAGTGCTTGAAATGCCACATTTTTTTAGGATTGTAAAACATGACAGTGATTTCAATGGTTTTAAAGAGGCTGTGGTAAAAATCTGTAAGCTATTGGTTAGCAGTAAGATCCTTAAAGAGATAGTTCACCCAAAAATTAACATTTAAAGAGTTTTACCCTTTATTCCCCACTTTTTTGTATTTTTTTCTTTTTGAGCGAGATGCTAATGGTCTAATCTGATTCAATGATTTATGCTAAGCTAAGCTAAAAGTGCTTCAATTCTCCAGTTTTTCTGCTTCCGACATATGAGGAGGTGAAAAATCATGATGGAGACGCTCTGAACTCAAACACAGGAGCGCTGCAGACGAGCCAGAAACTCTCTGTCATTATATATTGTGTCCTCTGTGTGACGAGTTGATGTTTTAACAGACGTTTTGGCTCTATTATAAATAAACGCAAATCTATAATGACATCTAATATCTATAATACAATTTAAAAATTAAATTGTTTCAGTGTAGCAGCTGTTTTGCATTCGGTTTGTTTCACAATGTGATTTCTAGCTCTATGCGTGCAGAAAAATGTGTTAATGGCTGATCTGAGTGCAGTGCGGGTTATAATTTTCACATTATTACAGTGCTTGAAATGCCACATTTTTTTAGGATTGTAAAACATGACAGTGATTTCAATGTTTTTAAAGAGACTGTGGTAAAAATCTGTAAGCTATTGGTTAGCAGTAAGATCCTTAAAGGGATAGTTCACCCAAAAATTAACTTTTAAAGATTTTTACCTCTTTTTTCCACACTTTTTTTTTTTTTTTGAGCGAGATGCTAATGGTCTAATCTGAGGCTGTGGTATTGACATGATGATATATATTATTATATATATTTTCTTGGCGCACTTTGGGTCCATTTGTACCAACTGAGCATGGTGTTAACCCCACAGCCTACCTGAGTATTGCTGCTGACCATGTCCATCCCTTTATGAGCACAGTGTCTCCATCTTCTGATGGCAGCAGGATAACGCAGCATGTCATAAAGCTCAATCATCTCAGACTGGTGAACATGACGATGAGTTCACTGTACTCAAATGGCCTCCACAGTCACCAGAGCTCAATCCAATAGAGCAGCTTTGAGATATGGTGGAACGGGAGATTGGCATCATGAATGTGCAGCCGACAAATCTGCAGCAACTGTGTGATGCTATCATGACAATATGGAGCAAAATCTCTGAGGAATATTTCCAGTAGCTTGTTGAATCTACAACACGAAGGAGTAAGGCAGTTCTGAAGGCAAAAACGGGACCAACCAAGGTGTACCTAATAAAGTGGCCGGTGAGTGTAGATGTTTCATCTCGTTTGTTGATGGTTTTGTTTGTAACTGGATAACAGAAGATGGATGTTAGGTGTAAACACGTCTCATTCACTCGATCACGAATGCAAGTATTGCTCTTTTAAATCTCAATTTATTAAAAAAAACAAAACAAATCTCTTCTGAAAGACACCAAGAGGTTGTTATAGATAAATAAAACAGAACTAGACATGATGCATGTTGACAGTGTGTGTGTATAAATCAGTGTCTGTCCAGCCTGGATTTACCTGCACTAGATAAGAAAGTGTGTGTTTATCGCCGAACAGACACACTGCTTCTGACAGACGAGTTGGCTGCTCTTTCCCGCTCTTTAGCGAACTCCATTTCAATTTTAGCCTGGATCTTCTCCCAGTCCACCTCCACCTGGACACAAGAGGAAAAGTATACGAAAAGTATAGTATATATATGAAAAATGTACACAATTATTAGTGAATGAGAAGCATTCGGGAAACTAATCCTGTCTGAACAGTGTAAATGGACATGCGGGTGAACATACTCCCTCAGAGTACTGCAGGAATCTCTTGTTGGTCTCCTGTTTGCCAAAGTCCTGCAGGAACTTGTGTCTGTGAGCGAGCACCGTGTCCACGTGGGTTTTGTACTTGACTGCTAACTCCAGCGCCCTGCAGAGAGAAACACATGAGCACAACACACACACACACATGCAGGTCTGTCACAATAGTCAACATATCGACTTAGCGTGCAACACATGGACATGACTTCAGTCATTTTTAGTGATGCAGTATATATCGTCCATCATGTCTACACAAAATAACATGTCTTAGTTGATTGTGCTGCTTCTGTCATCTCATCTGATCTCCACTGGAGGGATGAGCGAGTTCAGGGTTCAACCCTACAAACAATGCTTACTAACTACTGACAGCTTTAGCAGAAGGTGTCCAAATGAGCCCGGTTCTGAATCTGTGGTCCACTTCCAGACAAGTGACGATTCAGGAATAACATTAAAGCCATTTTACAAGCACATTTACATGCTGTTCTTGTTTCTTGAATGTGTTTATGATTGTTTATATGCTGTTGTATAATCATTACATGAACACAGACATAAATTGGTCTTCAAGAGTTCACATTTAGCTGATGACTGATATTAAAGCGTGTTTGGCGTGCTGTCCTGGGAGAGAGCCTCAAGCCCTGGGCTCCCTCCCGTCTGTAAAGTGAGAGGGGAGTTTGAGTTCAGATAGGCCTTGAGAACTCCCCCACTTATTATATGGCTAATAGCGATGCTGATTAAGAGTTTATCAGTGGTGCCAATTTGGTTGGATCAATTCACTTCGTCTTGTTCATTTCGTCAATGGAAATGGCTTGAAATAAATAGACACTTGACAGTAACGTGATTGAATACATGTGAATGAACATGAATGAATAACCCAATGCAGCAGATTAAACAGTTACGAAAAGTTATATCGCTAACATTTGATATTCTTTTACATTTTAATCTCGTCATAGACTAGTCAGCGCATCAAGGCGTGCACATTCAAAGTTTGTAGTCATATTACTAGTGCAAAGGACATGTCAAGTTTGAGTCAAGCTATAGGCAATGAACATGTTTTGCCCCTATAATCAATGATGAAATTAACACTGGTAGCAATTTTTCCATGTAAAGATTTATGAGCAAAATGCATCCGATGAGAGACTAAAGAGAACAAAATCATCACTTCTTCACAAACTGGAGCAGATTAGTCAGAGAAATGTAGTTTAGTGTGTTGGGATTTGCCAGTGTGGTGTTTTTCTGCTCTAATAATTGAGAAGACGAAGACGAAACGCAATGAACGCGGTGGCTTTTGGAGGCGTGAGGCGCTCTATGGGAGCGCAGACAGATGCTCAAGACCGTTCTGGAAGGAATAGTAATAAAACTGAAGCGCTGTGATGACGGACTGACTGCTGAGGGGTTTTATGCTGTGTCCACACCAGATGCGGAACGCGCGGATAAATCGCGCTATTTGCGCGTAAATAGCCGCGTGAACATTTGAGTTTACTCGCTTCACTCGCGCGTCAAACCCCGCTTCATTCGCGTGTCAAATTCACATCAGAACAGATGCAGATTCGCGTGATGGACAGGGCTTCTGTCGGCCCGGTGACTCTAGCTTCATAGCTAAATGGCTAGCATGGATTTTATGAAGAAAATAACAGTGTTTATGTGCTTTATGAAGGCTGAAAAACAGCGTCGAAATGTTTAGGGTCGTGTCTGAGTCCACTACATCCTTTCAGAGGTGCATCCAGCTCTGTGAGCTCATAAACTCCTCCAGAAACTGAACCTGGATGACGGAGGCTTTCAGCGGTGCTTCTGACTGAGCCAAGGCGAGTTTGATGAACTGTTGTCGGTGAAGGCTGGAGGATTTTCCTCGGAACACCGACAACAGTTTCTACGTCACAATCACGCCCCCACAAGAGCAAGCTCCTGATTGGTTAACGTGGCGCGAATGTACGCTGAAGTTCAGATTTTCGAAATCGAGAGATTCACGTGAAACGCTCGTCAAACGCGCAAAACGCTCAATTCGCCCCGCGCCATTTGCATCATTCGTGCCGCGCCATTTGCGCGTATCGCACCGCAGGATGTCTATTCGCACGTTTCCATTGACTTAACATGTAAATCACTCGCGCTTGACGCGGGTGCCGCATCTGGTGTGAACGCAGCTTTAGAAAGAGCAAAACAGCATTTCAGATCTTTTATGATGTGATGGAAAAACTGCAAACTCCACCAATGCATCTTTTTTTGAAGCTGGATTTTATGTGTGTTTCTATCATAGTTTATGCACTTTTTTTCTTACCGGATAAACAGTTTAACCTTCTCAGTTGTGTGTGCGTAAGGTTTTTATGTGAATTTTTAATATTAACAAGATTTCCCTTGTTTTATGCAATGAAAGGAAGCCGTTTCACACCTGTCCCAGTTGTAGAGGTTGATGTGGATCTGGATGGCGTGGTAAATGAGGTTGGCCTGCAGGAGCGTGGCCTCGGCCTCCTGCACGTGTCCACTGAACAGCAGGATGTGAGCCAAACACGAGTCTTTAGATGGCAGATCTTTAATGAAGTTGATGTACTGCACCTTATCAATCTACCAGACACAGAGAGCGGTGTTAAAGGAATAGCACGTCCAAATCTGATAACTAATTTACTCATCCTTCACTTGTTCCAAACCTGTTTGAGTTTCTGCCAATGGCGTAAGCTAAATAATCTAGTTTTTCCTTTTAACGTAAGATTATTCTGCTAATCCATTGGCAGAATATTCAGCTTGTTTTTTTGGGAAAAACTCACTTAATTTTAAAAAATTATTGCTTGAAACAAGAAAATCTGATTTGCTTGTCTATAAACTGCTTCTTAATTTAAGAATTTGAAGATATTTGGACTAGAAACAAGACAAAAACTCTATGTAAGAACAGCATTTTCTGCAGTGTGGGTAACAGTATTTCTTACAATATCTTCTTTTGTGTTTAACATAGAGTAAATGATGAGGTAAATGTCTTTAAAGTTGCCGGAAGAGCCCCTGATGTGAGGTCTTTTGTCCGGAATTCACAGATTCACCTCTCCTATAGCTGCGTACGCCACCTCTGCTGTGCTCAGCTCCCTGTTGGCCATCGCCAGTCCAGCCAAACACGACCAGAGCGTCTGATCCTGCAGAGAAAACACCAAAATCAGGGCCTGTGTTTAATAAACATTTGATCTTTACCACTAAGAGTTCTCCAAAACAGCAGGAAAAGTTTTGTAGCTAAGAGTATTTATTAAAGCTGCTGAGATCAACTTTTATTAAAACTATTGACCTTATATTTCACGTTTGAGCGTGAAAAAAAATCACTAAAAATCCCTTTTTAAATGAACTGTATGTAGATATTATGAACTACATATGCCAAGCATTCTCGAATGAATAGATTCTTTATTATATTATTTATTTTAGAAATTAATTACTGATAGGAATGACATGGATCAAAAGCTCATATAAAAATAGAATGATAGCAAACGAAAGCCTTGTAGTGAAATGTGACATTTAGAGAACTGATTTCATTTTAATATTTCATTTATTTGTGTTTCAATAGTGTGACTCTGCTATATTGTGATATTAAAACAGCACTGCCCTCTACTGGTGTCACACATGATAATGCAGGACAATAACACAGAGACAAACTGAAAGACATACCTCC